CCGGCTGATTTTTTTATTTATTGTAGAGATGAGGTCTCACTGCCCAGGCAGGTCCCGAACCCGCGGGCTCAGGCAATCCACTCACCTCAGCCTCCCAAAGACGTGGGATTACAGGCTGAGCGACCCAGCCCAGCTGTGCACCTGCTCTAAAATGGAGTCTGGCAGAAATGACACGCATTACTATTTTTGTGATGAAATGTTCAATGCTAATTACATAATAGATCTAAATTTAATGTGAGAGGTACCAAAGGAAAGGTAGATCATATGTGTTCGTGAGTGCCATAGTGCCTGCCACAGCACTTAGTCATTAGAATCATTGGAGAATTTTATCATTGACTTGATATTTGTAGTAGTTAATGTAAACTATTTATTTATGAAATAGTTATAGGAAAAACTTGATGAACTTTTTGGAAGTTCTTTGTTTTTTCATTAATTTCAAAAGTGGTGAAAGAGTGAATTATTTCTAAATGATCTCTGGAAATAGGTTTCTTCTACAAGCATATAAGGGAACTCGAAGTGGTACCTTAATTTGTGCAATACTATAAAGAAAAATGGTTATTGGAGCCAGAAAAAATGCACAATCACTTTTACTCATGCTTAAACCCAAGCTTGAAAAAATTGACTGTTTGTGCACAGGAATTTTTATAATGGATCTATTTGGGGCATGTTGATACAATCTCTTCAGAAATGGTCAGTTTCACTCATGCTCAATCCTATACATATTTTAAGGGGTACTTTCCTGATCCAGTTCAGTTAGAATAAGATATTTTCACTTAACAAACATGATATAGATCTCATTTTTTGACTAGATTTTGTTTATAATCTCTGGGTGAGGAAGATGCATATTGTCTCATAGAATTTACTCTAATTATTCTATTATTCTGACATCTTGTCTTAAAGGCACACCAGAGATTTGTTGACAGATATTTTATTTTTGTCTTCCTAAATCACTTGTCATATAACTCCATTCTTCTTCAGCCCTGGAAGGCTTACCCATGTATTCTAGAGCAACAGACTTCTTTGTAACTGGCTTATGGATGGGTTTGATAATTGAAAGTCAGCAAGAGAAGATCGACATATACGGAGTAGGTAAGGGTGGAGTTTTTACTTTCCCACTCACTCCCTTACAAGTTTTCATGAGTTGGTCCCATTTCTCTACTAAATGGCATGATTCCTGTGAGGTTTTCTTCTTTCCATTAAGACAAAAGCCTGTGGATAACACAAACATTTAAACATTTTAAACTCTCCTAAAAGGTTTTTTTGTTTTGTTTTTTTTCCCCCCCAGGACCATGACTAATACACACCTTCTTATGCATAAAACTACAAATATGACTCAACCTCACACAGTGTCCCTGCTATACAGCCTTGAATGCACGCTCACCCAGTGGGGGTGGCTACATGGTGAAATCAATTTGTAACTGAACTTATAAAATATACATTGTAATATAAGCTATGTCTTCATAACAGTAGCCTTTTCATATCAAATGTGGTAAGTAAAAATGTTTAATAAATTTTAAAATGTGATAAATATTATTTTGAGTGGATGATAAATGTAACTATGGGTTTTCTTGTCTATTAAGACAAGCACTGTTCCTATATGAATCAAATCATTAATCCCTGATGGTGCTTAATTATCATTAAACATATTTTTCTTCACAGGAGCTGTCATTTCAGGGTGCTTGTCAACTAGCTTGTTTATCAAAACACTCCAGGCCCTTTCAAATTCTCATTTACATTGCTTCATGTTTACCACTCCTGTAAATTTGTATTATCAGCACATTTAACTATCAGGCTGTTTTGGAGATTGAAAAGCGTTGATTCATCATGTGCAATATCTCACACATCTGTCATTTCCATTCTACTGCAATTTGGTTAGTTAAGCCTCTTATTACTTCATGTTTGAATAATTGCAATAAATTTCATACTGTTCTCGCCTCTGAACCAGCTCCCTCCATGGCAATATACACACTTACATTCATTTTGCATAATATCACCAGAGTTTTCTTTTTTCATCTACCTTCCTAGAATATTTGTCCTCCACTTTTGGTTTTTCTTGCCCTTTATTCTGTCCCTATTACTGAATGTGCACCTTTTCAGTTATTCAGGCTACTTATGCATTCACTTTGCAAAATCCAAGTAAAATCTCTCCTCTTTATGAGTATTTTAAATAGAAAGCCTATAGAGCAAAGCCTCTAATAATACTTGCAATTGCTATCACTAATGAAATATACTTTTTAGGCCCTAGTCATATGGTTATCATATATTATATAATATTAATGCTCATAAACTCCTTGAGACTTGATACATATCTCAGACTTCATCATTCAATTAAACAACAAAACAGTGGGTTTTTTTCAATTTTGTAATAATTATTTATTAAGTTCCTTTTCTCCCCCAAACCAATTTTCTTACCCCATATTCAAAGTGCTCTGATGAGGGTAACTGATTACTGATTTGAGACTAGAAAAATGTTCAAATGTACATTTTTTTTTGGCACACCAAGCTGGTATTTGTGTTAAATGAACAGTTGAATATTGTGGTTTGAATTGACCAGTTGCTTAAGTGGCTAAATTAGTCATCACATAGAAGCAGCTTAAAAGATGAGCCATGATGATAGTCATTTTACTTTGGAAAAAGAAAAAGAAATAAAGCAAAGCAATGTTTACACTTTTGTCATGTCTATCAGATATCCATAGAACACAGGCATGATCAACAGAAAAAAAATGCATAAAAGGGTCTCAATATAGATATTTTTACTTATTTTGGATCTAAGCACTAATAGATACCCTATGATTTTTTTTTTCTTTTATTCCAGCAGTAACAAAATTAACAGAAGCGAACTTTTAACTTTTGAACATCTACATGACTGGAACAAAGCTTTGCATATTAAACATATTATAACATTAACTCTACCAAAGCATATAGCAGAGGTTATATTTATGTTGCAAATGATAAAAATTATTTTACACATACTTAAATTACTTGAACAGAAATTTTTAAAATGAAGTTCATACTGAATTTTGAATTTTACATAGGTTTATACGCTTCCACAATTCATGCTGCCAAACTTCTGAGTCATTTACAAATAGGCTATGTTCCTTAAACAGATTTCAACAATGATCTTAAGTGGCTTGCAGAGATACAAATTATGTACAATAAAATAAAATTGTGGCAATAAAGAAAAATAAAAATATGGTATGACAACATGATGAAGCCAGAATTAAGGTGAGCACATGAAAAAAAATTCTTTTTTCTCCAATTTTATCTGTTCGACTATACTAATGCAGGTGATAAGCAGATTAGAAAACAAACTAGCTCATCATAGGAAGCCTAATTATTGTTCCTGAGAGTCCTAGGGAGTCCGCTGAATAACACACTGACATTTACTAATTCCTACCTCTTAGATCTAGGGTGTTCAGATACTATTTCTTTTCTAAGTTGGAAACATACAAGAAATTTAAGGCAACATACTCTAATCCTTGCTCGTAGATTTAGAATTCAGATAGATCTGCATATTGATCTTTACTAGGTGTATGACTTTAGGATGTTATTGTCTCTCTATGAAGCTTATTTGTCTCCTCTGTAAAATAGGGGCAAAAGTCATATTTACATAATATTTTGTGAGGTTAACATAAAATATAACAGGTCAACAGCAATCATTATTTTGTAATTACAATGTACCATTATTAATTGCTGAACCAAAACATGGTCAAGTATCACCGGTGTTCTGTATCTGCTGCCCAGCTTGATTTTTTTTTTCACAAAAGAGGACTGAATGCTTGATTCACAGTTCAATTCCTTTTTTTAAGCCATTGATTTTGAACCAAGAATGATTTTGACACCTGGGGAACAGTTGATAACATCTGGAGATATTTTTGGTTGCAAGGACAGCTCTTCACAGCACAGAATCATCCGGCTTACAATACTGATAATGCCAAGGAGAAACTCTGAACTACATTTGCATTTTTGTTGTTTCCTGGTTATTTATCTCTCTGTTTTTTCTTGTCCCCGGTTTTATAGATATTGAATTTTTGACTTCTCCTTGTCTTATTCAAACTTATGGATATTCTAATTTGATTTGCTTGTGTCTTCCTAGTTTGACCCCTTACCATTTTCTGAATTTTAGTATACTATTAAAAAGGCCATTTCTTTAGAGTTTCATCATTACTTTCACCAAATTTTTATTTGCTTAAGTTTGGGATGCAGCGGTATATTATTAATAATAATAATAACTTATGCAAGGCATTTAATAAGTTAATTACTTAAATATTCTTTTTTTCCTTCTATTGTGCATATGATCTTTTAAATTAAGTGCAAGACTTGTGGTTTCCTGCTGGATCAGAAGGTTTTTTTTTGGACCAGGAGGATTTGTCTTATCAGACATGAGGTCTGCAACTGCCCAGTTGAACTTAGGCAGGTCACTGACCTCTTGAGTTAGCCCCTAGTTGTGGTCATTATCTTGGGAACTTCATTGGTTTTTGGTAGCATTGGTTGTATCATCATAACTCAGAGGCTGGTTTATTTTAGGTCTCAGCTCCTCTGAATACACAATTTTTATTTCTCCATTTTTGGCAGCTAAATTGAGACAGTGATCACATCCAAAACAGTCAGTTTCCTAACCTATCAATATCTGTACCTATTTCTGTCTTTTTTTGACATATATTTTTTATATTTTGTTGATATCAGCTTCTGACACTCATCCTCAAAACTACCAAAACTAAACTAACTTTTAGTTAAATATTATCTAAACTAATAGTTTTCTCTTCCCCACATCAATAGACATTCTTGCTATATGCCTCAAAAACAAAGAAAAAAACATAATGCTGACCAACCTGTACCCACTTGCCTAACACGAAATATATTAAATTAATAAAACCAAGGTGTCCTGCATTTACAAAAATGTTAACTTTTCTTAATGTATATGACTCATTAATGAGTTTATAATTATAATTTTGAAGCATTTGATTCTGGAACTAGTAGATTGTATGTGTTCGTCCTGGTAAATTAGGAAGTTTGATTTTTCAGTAAAAGCTCACTGAAACCCATGTAGCAAGCAATAAATATTTAAATTGTGTTGGAAATATTTACTCATTCAACAAATAAGGACTCCACATTTAGTGTGTTCTGAGAAGCTGAGATAAAGTATTTCCAAACAAGGCAAATTCTACTACCTCTTGGTAGTATTCTAGATTTTAAGACAATGTTGACTGCTGTGAAACCTTAGTTAATGCTCAATAAATATCATAGTGATATAACTTTTCTTACTCTGACTTTGTGAGACTTTTGTTTATATACATTTTTCATATTTTATTGAATTATTTATATAGTACAATGTGTATCAATTTATTAAAGAAATCATTTCAGCTCTTAAAGTTAATTCACCCAATACATTTTAATTTGAATTTGCATTTTAAGGACCTTCATTCCTCTTCCATACTTAAAACATATTCCCTGCAGAGTATCTTCTATATTATTAAATAGTTGTTGTTTACTAAAGAGAAATTTCAGCTTATTACTCATCTACAGCAAAACTTGAAAACTCTTTTAGTTTGAAAATGAAGTCTCCAAAATATTTTTTCTAACTTGACTTTTAAACTTGGATGACAAAATAATTCTACTAAATACTATAATCCAATCATATACTTTAAATCTTTATGCTTTCCTTAAATGCAACAGAATATTTCCTTGGCCTGTCTCTCACTGTTGTATCATTCAAGAATACTATATCAAGTTCCAAATCCTCAATTAAGTAATCATTTATTAATTTCAGATTTCACCTTTTTACTCAATAAATATTTACCAAATGGTTTCTTTCAGGAACTGTGTCAGGTTCTTGGGAATAAAGTGGTAAGGTAACATGCATGATTCATTCTTTAAAGAATATATATTGCAGTTGTAATCATCACAAGGATGTCACAGAGAAAATTTAAATATTATTGTTAAAGGACAGACATTTTTGGATGCCAGATAGGCAACAGCTAATGCACAGATTATTGACTTTGTTCAGTTTAGGAAACCATCATAAAACAGAGCCTTTTCCTTGTGAAATATGAAAGATTGCTCAATTATTTGCTTTAATAAGGAATTCATCAAAGTCATGCATTTATGCATGAATGGAGAAAATCATGAGTCAAAAGTTTTTCCTCTGGCTTAACAAAGAGTTTTACAAATATTTAAATGTTTCTAAAAGTATAAAAGACATTTTACATATTAACATGGCAACTATTCGTTTAAAAAGCAAACAAAATAGAAGGACAGACGTCTAGGGATTAAAGATTAAAATTATTTTGGAAGACATAGTAACAATTTTGTAGAACATTTGCTTTCAAATATGTGTTCAATAAACACTAACTTGGACTGGATTATGCATTTTCATATAAGTCTTCACATTTAAAAGGTGAATAAGATTGATGCTTTTGTTAACATTCTCAATTCACCCATTTTATCAAAACTAGTTCCTTGACACACAACACTGCATTTCCATAGCCATAAGAGAAAAAGAAACACTTTTCCTTTTTTTTTCTTTTGCTTTCTCAAATCAAAGCACTGGAATACCATTTGTTAGCTCTGAAAGGAAAACTTGACCAGAAGAGCTTAATACTAAAAATACAGAACCAGAGAAGTGCAGGAAATAATTTCTAACAAATGAGATATGAGGCATGCAATGCTTTGCTTCTAAATCTTTAAAGCATTTCCATACATTTTCCCAGGTCACTTTGTGCTATTATATTTTGGTCATCCAGCCAAACTTTGACAAACATAAATTATGGATGTTAGAAATTATTTACCCACATTTTCATTTAAATAAGCAATTTTGAAGATTCAATTTTTATGTTGTCCAGGAATGAAACACA